TCTAAAAATGTAGTATGCCCGCGAGTTTAAACCGTCTCATTGGATACTTGGAATTTGGAATTTACGTCACACCGACGATACATGAGCTAGCTGGTATCTAAATTCACTTACACTTTCGCGATTCGAACACACAATGGTGAAAGGCAGGTGACTTGACACATTGTGTAGTTCTGTAAATAAACCTACAGCCCAGATGCCCAGAGCTGTAGAGCTATCTATTTGGCGACATGACTATCTCCTTCACGACATAACTGTGTAAACTGAATTATATGTATCATAAACTTCTTAATAACTATTTGGTGAACCGCTACAAAAATTATTCAAATTATAGTCCTGAAGTCAAAGCTGGTCATGCTTCAGGGGTCATTAATTTTTCTTATATGCATATTGTCAAATAAATCTATTTCTATTATACTATTGAGGCTATAGGAACATTGTCTAATGGACCTCTACAAAAATTGTTCAAAATAAAGCCCTTAGGTCAAAATGGGTCCCACCCCGGGGGAACATAGATTTTCCGTATATGTATCTAGTAAAAACGTAAACAATTGTTCTCTAAAACTGTAAAAGCTAAAGCTTTGTGTTTTAACATGAAATATTTTCTAGAAGGCATTTACTAAGTCTGTTCTTGTCATAGCCCTTGGGTTAAAATTGGTCTGCCCCGTGGTGCTTTGGCTTTTCCTCATTGATATGATTGATTGATATGATATTTCAATAACAACCATTAACTTCCATATAAACCACTAATTATTGACTTCCATACAACCAGTGACATTTTACATAGCAATTAGAAACGTTTAATAACAACGATTGACTTTCCATGAACACCAGTGTCTTTTCGAAATTTATAGGGATTCTATTTCGCTTAAAAGTAAGTGCAATTGCTACTTCATGTGACTTGATGTTCTTCTTGCTTTTTATTCTTTTTTAAGTTTTGCATCATGCATCGCAACTAAATTGTTACATCTTTTAGAGCCAGCTTTGTAAAATAATCATGAAACGACACCTAGAACCTCATGTACATTTTAGAAACAAGATACGTGCTTTCTCCCGTTCATCTTCAAATGAAGAGTACTTCGGCAATAAACAACCAAAAAAACCCTTTGCTTTTACAAGAAAAGTAGACACTTTAAAGAAAAAACCTGAAAAATCACGAGGTCGGCTTCTTTTAATTTACAAAAATGGTTTCATTTTTATTCAACCTCGTTTTGTTAATTTACACCAGGCAAAAGTTTCATTCCATCGCAACAAGTGACTTCCATAGCAACCAACCGTTTGAGTCCCGGTCAGGCTGAAATTTTTCTTCTCACCCTGTCACATTTGGCGTCAAACGGAGGACCGTGACAGAATATAGATCAGACTTTAATTTACATAGCAATGTAACTCTCTGAAATTCAAGGGGTGAAGCCGCGGAACGGTATTGCGTGTCAGGCTGCACATTTTTCTCACATGTGCCATAATTAATGTGCAGATCATTGAACCAGGAAGATGTTTATCACCCTTATAAAACCACATCATGTTCCTAAATATTTTCTAAACGGATATCAAAGTCTATCTGTTTACCATGCAAGTATTAGAACCGAATTTAGTTACCTAAATGCGGATCTTTATGAAACCATTTACGAGATAACTCATTCTGTAGCTACTGTACATCCAGTATTGAAGGTGCCGAACATTACTTTTTAAATGTCCCAAATATAACGAAATAAGATCGAATACAGTTATGCCGTTCAACTCGCAGTTCCCATCCTTTGAGCGTAAGGACCCTTTTGTTTGGAAAAGAATCTCTTAGAAATTGGATTGGAAATCGGAAATGGTAGATAAAGAAATAGTTGATCAATAATTATCATTTGAGGTAAATATGTAGTTACTTTAATCAGGTGTTTCTTTTTTATCGTTTTCTTGTCGTCTATTTGCCATGATTTTGAAAATTTACAAGTCGAAAACAATTATCTGTTTACTAAGTGAACGTTATTTAACCCAGTGATATCAGATGTGTGTCTTTAATTGTAAATGTAAAAATAAAATAAATTGTTTTAACAACAATTTATTTTATGAACTGAACATTTGTTGTTTTCAAATATTTTATCAGAACAAGAAATAAGTCCACACGTTGCTCTATATTTCTAAGAGTTGTTTGCGTTGTTTCTAAATAAAACCAACAGTGACATCATAGATTTTTTAGTTTTTTTTATAAACCTTTTCTTGCTAATTGAAGTGTTCAAAATTAGAATCGGTCTAAAAGTAGATCTCCTTCAACTCCGCTTACGGCTGCAACATTATGTTGCTAAAGTGGTGTACCGCTTTCTTGGTACCATCCTTCGTAAAAATATCGTTGCAATCCATTGCTATGATCTCTGTGCAAATACCAGACAGGAAGGCGACAATAAGATGGAGAAAAGTCGAAACCATGATGATGGAAAGTCGACATAACGACAGCACAATGATGACGAGTCGAAAATACGATTCTGAAATTTAAAATAACGAAACAACGTACGATGGTGAAAAGTCGAACGCAAGGTAATAATTTTTAAATTTTCACCATCGTGATTTCGCTATTTCGACTTTTCATCACCGTACCTCTGACTTTTCAACATCTTAATTTCGAATTTTCACCATCTAGGCTTCGTTATGCAAATTTACTTAATTACAACAAAATATAAATAAGAATTGTTTGATAAACTCGTGCCTCCAATGTTACATTTAATATTGAAGCGTTGTGTGTGGTTTTGTATTGAAATGGTGCATTTACAATTTTGTAAGTTAATTTAAGGTCTTAAAGAACGACATAAAAAGACGTTATTTATGAAGAATTAAGACGTGTATTTTTGAAAACTGTGTTATTTTCAAATAATATTAGATACTGTTTAAAGATATTACATTTGGGAGGAAACTAGTATGTTTTTATTATTTACTCTTTGTTAAAAGATGATTTTGAACAGCATGAAATTAGGCGAAATTGGTGTTCCATATTAAAATATTTACTCTGTTCACTAGGTTTTATTGATGCATGAATATATCAAGGAGTAGGTGATGATAAGGTATTTTGTCCTTAGTGAAACAAAAATGGCATGACTAATTTATACAGAACTGGAACTCAAGATTATCAAACTGTTGTAGAGCAGTGTTGTAGAGCAGTCCGTAACACGTTTGAGTGTACATGGTGTATTCTCTCATAGATAACAAGGAGAAGCTGAAATAGTGGGCAAAACCCTTAGACTATAGAAAATTCTCAATATGCAATTCTCTTAAAGATTAATACCATTTTGTGATAGAATGCTCAATGTTTTTGTTGATTGCTTAAGCAGAAAAAACTCTCTTTTATTTATGCCCAGTGGTTAAAATTATATCTTATTCAATCAAATCGTTTCATTTTATTAATTCTTTAATACATTTAACTCATCCAATCAGCACCAACTATTTCATGTAATGCTATCCCATCAAAATCAGCGTACCATAGACACCCTGCGTAAAGTTCAACTACTATGTAGGTTAGTTAGTGTTTTTTTTAATTCATCAATAATTCCATTTAATTTGTGGCGCGCAGTCGTGCCAGACAGACATGATTTCATTTCTGCTGTCTAATTGAAACTTATTTATACATAAGCTATACGTAATGAATAACTAAGGGATAAAGCAGGCGTATGAAATAAATCCCCCGCTGTCTTAACTCACATAGTAAAACTTATCATATGTAATACCTCTAAATGGGGTCTTTCAAATAGAAAGACCCTGTTTTGAACGAATAAGTACAAAATTTAAAAGCAAATCTATTTAGCTGTTTGGCGTGAACGATGTTTTGCATTTAAAATACCGTCCACAAAAAAACCCCAACCGAAACAGCACATTTATTTTTTTTATGTTTGGCAAACATCATATTTTCATTTTAATGTTTTTATTCTCGAACATAAGAAGTATCTAAACTAAGAAAATGAGGAGCTTAGCTGGTAAAGAAAACTGCATTTACTGCATGTTAAAATGCAGTTATTTTCGTTATTTAAAATCAAAACATAAACAAAAACAAAAACAAGACCAATTTTACATGCAATCATTAGACAAGTGTGCTTATAGATGTATTAAATGTATGAAGAAAGTTTATATTACGTAATGAAATATGAGGCATTCTACTTTATACAATAAATAAAACACCACTAGATTTTTATCATGACGATATTACTATTTATATTACGGTGGTGTCGATTATCTTTTATCATTATTTAAACATTTTAGATATTTTGATTAATCTACCCGGCCATACAATCATATAATAATATTTTTGTAAGTGTTTATTTGAGGTCCTTTCAACACGTGTAACTACAAAGGGCCATGCAAAATGTTATACAAGAATTCCTGAATAACAATATATTTCTATAGGTTTTTTTTTTCTTCTTTAGATTTTAACTATGAAATATACTGTTCCTATGTACAGTACAAAATATTTAGTCATATGGTACACTTGAATTAATTGTAAGTATGACTTCTATTGATTTTTGGGAAATTAACGTTTCAAAAAAAAGTGAGGGATAATAAAAAAATTGAGTACAAAACCGTCTAATTTCTCATTTTTCCCCTCTTGTTTTGAAATAGTATTGAGAAAATAAAAAATATTAACCGAGTTATTTTATTTGTTTTGCCTTTATCAACTGATGATGAAACATGGCAAAAAAACCCCAAAAAACCCCACAAAAACAACAACAAAAACGTCTGAACAGACTTGTAATTTATGTAACATTTCAAAACTAGATCTTATCAATTTTGTTATTACATGATTCTTTTACGGGCAATGTTCCCTACTTTAGTATTTTCCTTCTTCGTCATGTAAAAATGTTTGATCTAAGACTATAAATAATTTGTGCCATTATTTTGGCTGAATGGAACTGATGCATAACGTTAATTTATTACAACATTACCCGAATGACTGCACAATTTTAATGATGTAAAATATATACCTGCCAAGAAGCACGAAAGTATGGTAATCTATCCTCGATGATATTTTAAAAAGAGTTTTTGTAGCTTTAATTTGATACCGATGTCACATTCTTATATATAAGATACGTTAAAGTATACATTTGTCAAATGAGTTTAAACTGTGATGTTGTATGGAACTCATAGTATTTTTGGTACAGTAAATGTTTCTGTATGAAAGGTAAGTGAAACAATAATTATTACCTCCGCATTAATATTATTTTGGTTAATTATTTTTTTATATTTTTTTACTGGTTACTTTAAGGTTAATTTCGTAAAATTATGACTATGACACCTAGTTCTCAATTACAAAAGTTATATTAAAATAATTTTAAAATCAGGAATATGTGAATTGTGTTTATTTGTTGTTTTTTTAACAATCATAAAACATGTTGATAATAATAATAATATTGAGTGATAATTCATGTCGAAATGAAGATAGACGTAGTCTATTATCAAGTGAGTTCAGATTTCAGTTGGTTTTATTTTTACATCTGCAATAAAGACATAACAAAATCTACCGCTAAACACTTCATTGGTATCACACAAAACGTCACACAATTTACTTTGCCACTCTGCTCCAATGAAAGTTTTTTTTGGACATATTTGAGGTCATTCTATGCGGGGTAGAGCTACATTGTTTTTAAAACATTGCTTTCAATGTTTCATATGTAGTAAGATTTACATATAAATACAATTATTTCCTTGACTTATAGATAATATCAATAAGAAAATAATACTAAAAAAGAACAAAGGTTGACCGACTGACAATAAAGTGCTAAAATAGTCATAAAAACTGACTGACTGACCGAGCGAGCGACCGAGCGACACACCGAACGAACAACCGACCGACCAACCGTTCCATTGTAGAGAAAACATTGTCTGCCTTAAAGATGTTTATGATGGAAACATGAACATGTTATTTAACATAAAAGTCCAAATAATTCTCAAAGTGTCAAGACGAAACGTGATTATGAAAATTATATATTTTAATATTGCTGTTTGATGTTGATACCACAGTACCTTTACTTGGACAATGTTAAAAAAATCTCTGCTTGACTGTTCTTTAATATTTCGTGCGTATCAGCTGGAAAGTAAACTTTGACAGCAATAAATTTTAGTGTATTTTCTACAATTACTTTAAAATGATTTTACTGACTATTGACGTAATAAGACACACTTTAAATAACTATTACTTTTCTAGGTGTATAGTCATATAGTTATATCTAAATTCAGTTGATAAATCAACTCGTAAACATGACTTTAAAGGACCTTAAGAATAAAAATTTGATAAAACATTTTAAAAATTCGTTCGGTCATGTTGGCATTCTTAATAAATAACAGGCTTTTCAGTCACATAAATGTAAGTGCAGTTCATCACTGGAATATATTTTTTAAATGCTTGAAATTATAGAAATTGAGGATTTAATTATTCAGTGTACGTATACTATTCATTTATAAATATTATACCTCCATGTTGATCCTATGTTTTTGACTCCTTACTATTGAAAGATTATAAAAGCTAATATGACTTTCACTTTTTGAATAAGTGAAACTAAATGCCTCACTGCCTCATGTTCAAAACAAAAACTGATCTAGGACCAAAAAAAAGAAGAATATCTGTCAAATTCTTTGACGAAAATCTCTTTTTTAGTGACATGCAAAGTTAATAACCTTTGCTACCATGACAATTGCTTAACTGAACGTAGGTATTAACTGCAAACTTTAAAATATATTATCTTTTTCATTTCCTACAGCATTTGTGAGAAGAAGTTAACTCTATCACACATATTTCTTTTATCGTCAGCCAGTTTAACTTAAAATATTACTGAACATTAAATAACTTTCCTCTTCTCTATTCCTTTGTAAATAATTTAATATGTTCCTGATCAACACTGATGACCACATCATATTAATATGGCTCTTACCAAGAGCGTCCATATTTCTCATTTTTAACTAACACATGTTTTTTTATCCTGTTATCTTTGCTACTAATGTGACCTACATCAAACTTGTAATTTGTTGGTTCCATTTCAGAGAAAAGTTCAGTATTTGAGTATATTTCTCCGTATTGATTAAGAAATTTATTATCTGTAATTAATTTTCATAGTTGTATTTTTTTACTGCGTTGTTCATCATTAAAATAAGTAGAACATGCTGTCCCCTATGATAAGTGTTCTTAATGTTCATTCCAAACGTTGTCTTTCTCGTGAACAGTACGAAGATTTTACAGAAGGGCATAAAAGTGTTACAACTAATGATCACCACCGCATATACACTATTAGATAAAATATAATGATATCGATATCTGCTTAAGTAACTGCTGGGACATGGACAATGACTTTCTATTATCAATGACAATGATGTATTAATCTCAGATTGGACCAATTTCATTATTTTAGAAAGGTTGGGCAAACTTTAAAGATTTCAGTTTTAATATTTTCTTTCTCTAAAATAACAACACATTGTCAACCGAGAAAGCAATTAGATTAAACAGAAACGACAAACATCCTTTCGGTAACATGAGACAGTTTGTCCTAAAATCGTTACAACAAGGATTTTATGTAATGTAGAATAAAAAAATAAAATGATAAAACAGAAAAAAATACTTTTACTTTATTATTATTTTTTTTGTGTCTGTATTAAGTATTAAAAGGAATTTGTTATTACGATATAAAACATGTCTTTCGCTTTTTACACAAGCAATTTAACACCATTATAACTAGATACTATCGTGAAAGATTTTATCAAACTAAGACAGATGTTACCTATTATATAGTTTACGTGATATACAAACATGTAGAATACAATCTAATATTTCAAATTCTGATATTACTATTACATGTATATGCCTGCTATTGTAAAGTCCATTCGTGCCAGATTTATCCCATTCATATTGTAACGATCAGGCCCATCATTTTACGTCCGAAAATAAACCCGTATCCGGAAACTACTCAAGTACTAAAGTAATTAACTGTACTTCATGACATCAACTTTTAATCATCAAAACATACACTACATGTACAGATAACTTCATCCTTTTAATATTTACGATGGTTATATTACTTAAAATAACTTATTTTCTACGTTGTAGCCGTTTTAATGTTCAATTAGCCACACGCTGCCAATTTAAACATGGCAGCTGGCACTGGCTAAATTTCTGCCCGCGCGAGATTGGCAGTGACGTCATCGAAGACGATGACGATACTGCAAGCTAGGCACCCTAGCCAAGCTAGCCACCCAGCGTCCCAGACTATAAATAGCAGCCCGAATCTGCCAAAATTGTCAGTACCTTGGTAGATAGCCACCAGACCACATCTATACTATATTGAATATGGATGTATCTCCAGCCACCAGAAGGTATATAATACTTTATGCCAGTAATAGTTTATATAGAAGCTTTATATTTAATCATCTAGTTTGGCAGTTTGGCATTATTTACCATTTATGATAGATCCTGACTGAAGACCAAGTTTCCATAGCCATAATCCCATATTTTATAGTGATACCCATATACCAGGGTAGAACACCACTGTATTTTGTATTTACCATTTTAGATACCCCTTCAACCCTATAGCATTTCATGGTAATTCCTACCATAGAATTTGTACCAGACCACAGGCAAGACGTGACACCGTATTTGTCAAGCCTTTCATTACATCTTATATTATACATTATTCTAGACGTAACAGAAGAATATTCCTGACCTAAGACGAGGAGCCCAAGCCAGAGCCATCCACAGAATATACTATATACGAATTTTATTGTTTGTGAAATGTATATTTAATAAATTGTTGTGTTAATCTTATTTCAGGCGTCCGTATCTTTTAGTCCTTGTGTCCCTATTTTCCCTTATCCATTTACGTGTGTTTGAGAAGAACCCACGTGTCGATATTGAAGTGTGTCCGGGCTAGCAGACCCCGGGTACGTTTCAACTGGTGTCAGAAGTGGGATTCCAATGATTTTATGAGATTTATATAATTTTCCAGATTGATCCATCATCAACCATTAATCAGTTGTCTGCCCTACCATTACAGGGAAATAACCAGGAGACCAAGAGACAGAACATTTTATTTTTTTATGTATCATAGTTCATTTCATTTGCTGATCCAGATTTTTGATCTTCCAAGGTGCTGACCATTCAATCAAACAAGTTTACTTGTTGGTTGGATGCATGATTATAGCCTTATTTGAATGCCCATTGCTGACTGCATTCTTGTCTGGCCAACCTGAAAGCAGAAAGGAATAGACATTATACATTATACCTAGTTTTATTATTTTTATTATACATAGTACATATAATAATTATAACCAACCCTGGCATTGCTATTCGTTACCAGATGGCACAAAATCAAATTGATATGGACATCGATGTCAATGTAGACCATACAAATACAGATAGAGAAGATTCTTTATCTCAAGACCATGAAGACTCAGACTATTCAAGACCAGCCTCTATGGCACAAGACAATGTTACCCAATCTGAAGCTAAAATGCTTGAGATTGCTACACAAATGAAAAATGCTCTCACTTCAATGGGAGAAGCTGTAGACCAGAGACTTAAAAACATAGAAAGAAGACAAGATATATTTGAAAATGGAAATTCAAATTCTACTGACATACCTAGTAGTAATTTATCTTATGATGACCAGACCTCTTCATATAGAATGTCAAATACAAACACTATCAAAGTGAAACCACCAACTTTTGATGGTACTGAAGACTTGAATGAATTTTTAATATCGTTCCAAATATGTAGTGATTTAAATAATTGGAACATTAGATCCAAAGGATTATGCCTAGCTAGTTGTTTAAAGGTTGATGCCCGATCAATGTTGACTGAAATCGATACTAGAGACCATTGTGACTATAAACTGCTAGTTGACCTACTTAACCAACGTTATGGTCCAGCCAATAGAAACAGACATTTTTTAAAGCCAAACTTAAAAACCAGAGTAAAACAAAAAGGGGAGACAATTTTCTCAATTGTCACAAGATATATACAGACTGACCAGAAACACTTATTATGCCAGTGCTTCTAAAGAAGTAATTGAGGCAATAGCCTTAGATCATTTTATTGATGCTATTAAAGACTCAGAGATTAGATTAAGACTAAAGGAAATATCACCAAAAACCCTATTAGAAGCCGAACAAGCAGCTATTAGGTTAGAGGCTTTCCGTACAGCAGACAAACAAAGAAATAAATTAGTAGCATCAGTCTCTGACCCAGAACAGGAAAGAAAAGACCTTAAACTTGATACCATTTGCAAATCATTAGAGTAAATTAATAGAGACTTAAATGACCTTAAAAGAGATCAATCTAACAGATACATGACAAACAGACTAGACAGTTAAATAGTTATATGCTATAAATATGCCATAGATATAAATATATATAAAAAAAAAATAGAGATTAATAATAAGAGGAAGTTTAAACCAACTAGTTGTTGTTGTTGTTCTATGATACTTATGATCCTAAATGAAAGTGATATTTAAATAAATAATGTATACCTATTCTTACCAATCCAGCTGATGAATATTTAACAAAAATGAAGACATGGAATTCCAAATACACCGCTCCTTGTTACAAATCAACCCTTTACATTGATGAGTTTCAGGTGGACCCCCTTCCTGCTCCAATTTGAACAGCTGTTTACTTAACTACCTGTTCATCTGGTGGACACTTTAACCCGCTCCCTGTTGTTCAAAAATATTGACTTCAGGTGGACACCATCGTTCCTCTGCTTGCACATCAGAGTGGTCCTTTTTCCCGTAATATGACAAACCTGGAGAATAACAAAACTCGAACCTGGAGAACGTTACTCTAAATGAAGAAATTAAATAGAATAAGAGACATCATACCATTATCATCAAATTAGCCTGAAACATTATGACCTAAAAGTTATTTAATGGACAGCTAATTACCATTTAGAGTGATGACATTGAAAATTTTTAAATGATTAACCAAAAACAGTGCAATGTTTTTGTATTCCACTTATAAAGTAGTGATGCCACCTTTGAAATCAAAGAGTGAAGTTTTATTATTGGTATACCTTGGGGGTACCAAATATTGGCCATATATGTTATGATATTTAATTACTATGATGATATATTGTCTATATGACTTGCCGGCCTATGTGCTTAAATTAGCCAAGTGTTAATTTATTATGAATATTATTAAATATACCAGCCATGATTGTGCAGTGTCCCACTGTAAGGAGTGTATTTTAGGCTGAGGATGTAATGAAGTATACTTCTGTTTAGATGAGCAGTTGGTAATAACCGCTTCTCCAGGTGACCAACTAACCAATACACCCAAGCTCTCTATTCACTGTAAATATAAAATACATGTATTTGTTTTATGAATGTAATAATAGAGCGCTCTATATTTGAATGTTTGACTGTGCCGAGTGAATGATACCTGTATACGTGACACTTTATACAATTGTTTTTATGCCATATAATTGAAGTTGTATTTATACAACATCCATAAATTATTTTGTCAATTCCGACAATACGTACATGTATGTTCCTACATGGAAAATTTGCAAATATTTAGCAAATTTTAATTATTACTAGGCATGTATAATAATTAATATATGCATTAATATGATGTGTCTTATGACTTAAAACTGTTACCTACCAAGTTTGACAAATAATTAAGTTAAACTCCTCTGTCTAATTAGTGTAATAATAACCAATTATCAAATGATAATTACCCGACAATATAATTATCTCATAACGTCGTGTTACAATGACATTATTTAGGTAAAATGATAAACCTTCCGACTATAAATATACTTACCTTCCTACTATTCAGGGGCTGAATCCATGTGAGCGGGGTGCAATGTAACGATCAAGCCCATCATTTTACGTCCGAAAATAAACCCGTATCCGGAAACTACTCAAGTACTAAAGTAATTAACTGTACTTCATGACATCAACTTTTAATCATCAAAACATACACTACATGTACAGATAACTTCATCCTTTTAATATTTACGATGGTTATATTACTTAAAATAACTTATTTTCTACGTTGTAGCCGTTTTAATGTTCAATTAGCCACACGCTGCCAATTTAAACATGGCAGCTGGCACTGGCTAAATTTCTGCCCGCGCGAGATTGGCAGTGACGTCATCGAAGACGATGACGATACTGCCAAGCTAGGCACCCTAGCCAAGCTAGCCACCCAGCGTCCCAGACTATAAATAGCAGCCCGAATCTGCCAAAATTGTCAGTACCTTGGTAGATAGCCACCAGACCACATCTATACTATATTGAATATGGATGTATCTCCAGCCACCAGAAGGTATATAATACTTTATGCCAGTAATAGTTTATATAGAAGCTTTATATTTAATCATCTAGTTTGGCAGTTTGGCATTATTTACCATTTATGATAGATCCTGACTGAAGACCAAGTTTCCATAGCCATAATCCCATATTTTATAGTGATACCCATATACCAGGGTAGAACACCACTGTATTTTGTAGTTACCATTTTAGATACCCCATCAACCTTATAGCATTTCATGGTAATTCCTACCATAGAATTTGTACCAGACCACAGGCAAGACGTGACACCGTATTTGTCAAGCCTTTCATTACATCTTATATTATACATTATTCTAGACGTAACAGAAGAATATTCCTGACCTAAGACGAGGAGCCCAAGCCAGAGCCATCCACAGAATATACTATATACGAATTTTATTGTTTGTGAAATGTATATTTAATAAATTGTTGTGTTAATCTTATTTCAGGCGTCCGTATCTTTTAGTCCTTGTGTCCCTATTTTCCCTTATCCATTTACGTGTGTTTGAGAAGAACCCACGTGTCGATATTGAAGTGTGTCCGGGCTAGCAGACCCCGGGTACGTTTCAATATGTTGGATATATGTTAAGTTCTAATGCACTAATGGCCTCATGATTTACACTCTTAACAATACATGTCCATGATTTTGGTAAATATCTTCATTTGTCATTTCATTTTCAGTTATTTCCCGAAATTGGTATCCCTGTATGTTATTTATCTTATGTCTTTTACACACTGATTTGTCAATAAAAAAAGATCGTGATCCTGGCACAAGTCTCAAAACCGTGGCATCCGTTTAAAAGAAATTTTGCACAAATGATCCTGGTATCGGCAAGTTGAATATATATTAAGATAAAAAATAATTAACCGGTATATAGGTAAGTAATGGCAACGACACTATGTATCTTTTTCACAGATATAGAACAAAGTGTTGTTGTATGTCTAATGTATAATGTAGATTGAAAACAGATTTATTTCAGGATTTATATGGCTTATAGGCCAACACTTTATAAATGCAAGGGTAATGCCAGTTGATGAAAAATTAAATTAAATTTGTGTTTCCAATGAGCCTTTTGTACTGTTCTATGACCGAAAGTGATGCCCATTTATCGAGCAAAGTTATTGCTCATGTAACTGGTATTTTAGAAAAAACATCATTATGGTTTTGAAGTAATAAGTGATTTGTTTGCAAAATATGTACTTTCACGTTATTAAAACAATACACAACTTAACTCATTGAAAAATATCGGATCATCGTATCAAATCTAATTTAAGCGCTGCGCTGGAAGACTAGCGACATTACTATCAGAATAAGAACTCATTTCCATGACATGATATGAAGAACAACAAAATGATCGTTCTGCTTTTAACTTTGGCCTCTGTTTCTGGTATGTATCGTGCTTTTAAAATTATCATTTATTGTCTACTTTCAATCGATTTATAGATCATTACTCATGATTTGATCAATTTGCCCAAAATTTGAACAGCAAAAATGACAGTGAATCTTTTGCGGCTATGTAATCATAAAAGCTAAAACCATTCTGTTTTTAGTTTCTTCACAAGACACAATAATATCTCCAGTAATTTTTTACATTTGAGTATCTTGTTTTTCAATTATGATCATTTTATCACGAAAAGTAGGGCATGGTTAAGTTGACATACATTTTTTTTGTATAATGGTGTTACAGTTAAAGATATAAATTATTGTTATAACTGTTGATAAAATCCTTTTTAATCCCAATTCTCTAATTCTTAGCATTTGAACATTACGTAAGCCTTCGGGACATGACACCGGAACCGGGATTGCCTGAACATATCTTGATGGATGTTATTGGAAGTGATGATAAAATTACCAGGCTTCATCTTAAAGAAAATAAACGTCTGAATGTAAACGCTGATATCTATGAACAAGATATTGACCGAGCTACATTAAGACGTTTAGAGACAAACAATAAACCAGTGGAGGTAGGTATGAATTCCAGTGAAGTAATGTTTTCTTTCTTTCTTTCTTTCTTTCTTTCTTTCTTTCTTTCATTCTTTCTTTCTTTCTTTCTTTCTTTCTTTCTTTCTTTCTTTCTTTCTTTCTTTCTTTCTACAAAAGTTTCCTTCGATGATGAATCACTTAAGTTCATTAGACTCTAATTGCTTGTTGTAAAAACCGTGTCCATTTCCAGCTTTGAAATAGAAAAAAACAACTCTTTATGCAGTGTCATAGTTATATATAAGTTCCACAAAAAAGTCTTTATGAATAGAGAATGTTCACACGTTATCTTTGTTAGTATAGCCGTAAAACACAATTTTTACACAAAGTCTTATAAAAAGGGATATCAAAAAGTGTGATTAATTTTTGAAGTCCATTGTTTTAATTTTATAAAAGGTTTGCAACACATATGTATGCCTTTAATTATCTATATTCGTTTAATTTATTTTTTTAGAAAAAAAAACATTTTGAAACAATTGAAATATAAACTGGAATAAGTCAGTGTAAACTGTAAAGAGTAACTAAAGCATAACCTTGGACAAGTACAACAGCAAAACAGAACTTGATGGACAAAAAGTAAAGTAATATTTTAAGATGGTAATGAGCTATAATGTAGATGTGATTGGTTTATATAAAATGGTAAAAAGGTTTAGTAAGGCTTTATATTAAAACGTTTTTAATCATACTAATGCTTCATATACCACATTTATATTTATCAATGGTCCTATTTCTTTTTGTCATCACCTGTATATTATTGTATTTTTTACAAATGGTTTACGTTATTTTACGAGTATCATTTCAGGATATTAAGTACTATCATGACGTGCAAAATAGGGCGGCTGTAAGTGTTACCTGTGAAAAAACAGTCGATGATTCATGTAAACGAACTCTGGTATGTATTTTATGTAATGAAATACATTTTATTTTATATTTGCATGCAATTGAATTATTATTTTAGTATTATATAACGGTTTAGAAAAAAATGTTGAAATCGTTACTTCGTTTGTCACAATTAGCATAGAATATAGTCCGCACAAGTATTTTCGTAAAATTACTGATCTAGAATTGCTTTAAAAGTTACATACAATACATGTTTAACATGCAGATACGCCTCATGGCTTCCGGCACCTGTAGATTGTTTCTCTGATTGGTTCATTGCGAATAAAATTTTATTGCAACGTATGAATAATCATATATTTTCTTTTACTGTTCTTTGAACAGCTTAGCAACGGTAGATTTATCTTCGATTGATACTTTTAGGAAGGATTTTTGACCATTGGCAAAGAAACGTATGAAATACGTCCAGTAAGTAACCTCTTGGTCACCAGAATGCTTCGAGCACTTAATCTAAACGTACACGTTGTTAACAGAGTGGTATTGCATAATAGGAACTTTGCTAAAATGGACCCAGCCAAAAAACTCATTGGACTGAAAGACTACATAGGTAAAACATTGCACGTTTTTAAATGTTTTGTTTCATATCACAAAAAGCGCTTAAAATTTCAAATCAGAAAAATAATGAGTTAAGCGATGATTATATTGTAGAAGGGCAAGTTGTTTCCCTTTCTTTGTATATTAATAAATGTTCTGATTTTTTTGCAACCTGTCGCCTCGGGAGTAGCCCTCTCCTGCTACATATAAACCATATAATATAGTATTACTATGAACATCAAACATTTTGTTAATTGTTGTAATTGTCCGAATTACCAATTCATTAAAATGGGACTTTTTAGATATATCATAAATTCAAAATAACAGTCAAGCTTTTCAAATACATGAATATAGTCATTTTAGCTCAACTTGACAATGATTAAAAATGAGCATCTTGTCACTTGTCCTCATGGATCAAATAAACTTATATTGATAAAAATTACTAAAATATTTAGTCGGAATCTAGGTAGACGAGTTAGAATGTACGCATCGAAGTGACATTATGCCCATCCAAGGGTATAAATGAGTGAACAAGTGAATGTCAAAATAAGTTTTCCTTTTGCCATAATTCCTTTAAATATAAAAATTTATTTCACATTAACAATAAACAACGCATGGATTCAAACGAAATTTTCATAAATATCAATTAAAAGTTACCTGTAATGTTCATTTCATAAAAAGAGTGGGGCAGTCTTTTTATATTTTAGGCAGATTTATAATTTTATTCTTAACATTTTCTAATATCAACTGTTGGTCAATCATCATTTTAACAGTCAGTCTTATGAAATATACAGTCAGTTCAGCTCAACTTGACAATGAAAATATGAGCAAAATGTCACTTTAATCTTCTGAAAGAACATATAGTTTCAATCTTTATTTCAAGCATTTGTTTTGGCCGCGTCTTTGCTAAATTAAAATGTAAGTTCAATAAAGAAAAAGAAACAGCTGTACATAGTTTAAATAAAAAATAAATAAAACAAACAACGCAAATATGAAGACTGCAAAAGTGTACAATAATTCCCAAACACTGAAACAAAAGTGATCTATCAATCTATAAAGTTCTAAGCTGATATGTCAATTACTATTTTTTCATAAAAAATTGAACATAAAAAAATTCAAAGGGAATAATTAAGATAATTTATTATAGATAAGAGTTATGTGTTTTAAACAGTGCATTTCAGCTCAAGTTATACAATGATTTATAAGAGATTGCTAAAATGCAAAGGACAATAACACAAAAGAGTAACATCATTTCAGTTCGCAGTACGAATGTATATATTAGAAAGGCAAAATGATAAGGTATTTGAAGAAGTCCGTTTTGAACATGATTGTCAATAAAAATATCAAGGATTGGTCCTGTATACATCATGATTTCAAACTCATGCAATGATTACAGAATTTGTATATATTGATATAATAAAGGTTCGTACTTAAATTATACTTCGTTCCATTGAGCTGATAACAGTCTATTTGTTATTGAAAATACTATTCTATATTGAAAATACTGTTATCTGTTGTTGCGAATTACAGAGAAGCAAACACTTAAGAAAAATGAAAAATGCAGGTGTTCCTAAAGATAAGGCTTAACGATAAATGTTTGATAATTAAAATAATACTAAGTGTTCTTTAATAAGAAAATTAAAAATGTTATTTCTTTTCCTTTTCCTACAGGAGCAAAGAAACATAGAAATGTAAGTTAAGATTAAAAATTATTATGTTAATAGCATATTCATTAAACCTCAGTTTTTGTTTTGTTTTAAGCAGCCTTTTAATTTAACACATGCTACCTTATTTGTTGATGACCACTGTTATATTCAGTTTGAAATTATTTAGTTCATATGGGAAGAAGAAGATTTGCTATCTCAAAAGAAGATTTTGTTTAAAATATTGTTCAACGAAGTTTCTCTATTGAATAAAATATTCTAAAACTTTTAAAATAATTATCTTTTTTCAGTTAGTACACTCTTTATAACATTTGAATATGTATGCATTTAAACAGTAATAGAACTTCTTCCTCTAAGGGTTTAAAATTTGGCACCCGTTTTTTTTATATAAACTAAGCAAGAACGTTCATTCTCGAAAGTTTTGTTGATCTTAAACAGATATGATATGATGTTTCAAAGTAAATAAAATATTGATTTAAAACATTGTAAAAAGGTTGGTTCTGGGATTTAAAGGAGAATTCTCTCGACACGTGCCAAAATATCTCTTTCAGGCTCAAATGTTTGTATACAGAAATCATTGTATTTTATACAATAATCTGATTTTTCTTTTGTTAAACAATTAGTTGAATTTAAAATAGGACTATGCTTTACATGCGACAATTCTGCAGATTAAACAGAGAGGAAATACATATAAACGACAACAGCAGACGGAGTATGCCGTGGAATGTATTGTTGTAATTGATCCTTACCTTTGGAAGAAGTAAGTTTATCATATATCGTTACTTAATAAAACAAAGACATTTCGGACACAAATTAAATAACTTCAACTCCCATAATTGATCATCATTTTTAGCTTACCATTATTAGCGCTTAAATAATAATAATAAATAACAAGCACCGGTTGAACCGGGTGATGCTCCCGAATAGGTTTTGGACACAGAAATGTATACCTCTTGTAGTGTCAGAGTTATGTCCCGGACAAAGTTCAAAGTGTAAAAATGAACAAAGGGCAAAACATCTTAAATAAGGCAAGTCAAAGTTATGGTTCTTTTGCAATGCACATCTACCCAATAAAATCTATCTACTAACAAAGTGTCTTGTTCACATCTTTTATACTTTCAGAACTATGTTCTGGACAATGTTAAAAGTGTGAAAATGAACAAAGGGCAATAACTCAAAAAATAAACAAGGCATTGTCCCGGACAAGGTTCAAATTGAAAAAAAAATAAACAAAGGATAATAACTCCAAAATTAGGCAAGGCAGATTTATAGTTCTTTTGCACTGCACTTCTACCAAATGAGATCTATCTACCTTCAAACTTTCATGTTGATATCTCATATAGTTTCAGAGTTATATCAAAGTGTAAAAATGAATGAAGGGCAATAACGCCAAAACAAAGCAAGGCAGAGTTTTTTTTTTGCAATAAACTTTTACCTAATGGGATTTATCTACCTACAAAGTTTCATGTTGATACCTCTTGTTGTTTCAAAGTCATGTAATAATAATAAAAAAAGAAAATGAAAAAAATAATAATGATATTAATAAAAATAATACTGGAGCTGTTACTATTACTGTTGCTGCTACTACTACTAAAATGACTATAATTCATGATAATTAAAAAAATCATATTCTAACACTATACTCAACATTTCCAATAAAAACACATTTTGTTCAGTTACTTGTATTTTTTAATTACTTTCAGCATTAATATAGTTACAAATATTTTCTGATTACAGATTTTATGAGCGAACAAAAGATTCTAATGACAAGAAAGAAACAACTAGATATAGGCTAAGGCGACATCTCACGCATGTTATGAATGGTGTAAGTGTAATAATTTGTCAATTTTGGTAATAACCAACGTAGTGCTGTATAAAAAACATTTCACTAAATACAATGTTATTTTCAGAGTGTTGTCGATCAACATTAAAGATTGATAAATCCCACAGTCAATGGTTAAATATACGTTCTGCTTCTTTGAAATATTGACTACATTAAAAACAGCGCAAATATAAACATTTACACAGTAGATAAAACCAGATAGTCGCAGGCACATCTTTAGCTACCCACCGTTTATTAAAGATTATGAATATCGTGGTTTTTATAACAATTGCTGACTACTTTCCTCAATAAAATAATTACGAAGTAGATTTTATAGGTATCTACATCTTTACGAAGACATGTGTTTCCAGGTAGGAACTTTACTTTAAACTTATAAACGACATGAAAATAAAAATTTCATTATCAAATTAGGCAAATGTGTGGATAAGTACTATCTAACGTGTAATTTCAAGTTTGCTCGATTGAACTACATTTAAAGTGAATTGGTCAATTATGTTGATGGTTTTAGTACCATAAGTGAAAACAAACTACGAAAAAGTTATATAAGGATGTTGTTGGCAAGTGTTAGAAACATGATCCGATATGACATAACAATATTTAGCAGATATTAAAGTGTTCTAGAAACAAAATTCTTCACATATATGCGAATGCTAATGTTTCTTAGAACTCTACCAACATTTTTCCCAATAAATATTTCATAAAAAATATCCAAATGATACATTACAGATGTTCATATCAATTTGTTAAAAAAACTTATGAAAATGTTCTGAACACTTGAAAATAAAACTCGAGGAATTAAGTGAAATTTGTTTCGCTAATGAATATCATGTCGTAGAAGATGGTAACGATAACCATTTTCAAATGATTAGAAACAGTTATGTACAAAGGTTTGTAAGGTATAAATGTTTAGTAGTTGTGTTGCGTCATTCATTCCTGGCCATTATTTATATCAGACCTGCATAATTGTACGGTTCCATTGACTTTTTAATTGTTTTTCACATTTGTTTCAGACATTAAAGCTCACAGATGAAATGACATTCTTTCAGTTTATATGATTATGATAAAAAATAAGTTGCCGTTCACTTTCGCAGTTAATTATAAGTAATAGCAAAAAAACAACCTCTCTATTTATAAGAACTTAGTACATGGTAAGAAAACTGGTAAAATAATTACTGCGTATTGTGCAATTATATTGCAAATTATGTTAGTACATGTATATTTATTTGATTAACAGGTCAGTCTGATGTACGAAAGTATTGAAGATCCTGAACTCAACATTTACGTGACGATATCAGGATTTATTTACTATGAGGTGAGCGTTGTAATTAGGCTTTACTTATGATAGAATTTATTTACATAAGTATCCGCGATAGCTCATTGGAGAGGTCATCAGACCTCTCCATAGTGTTCAGACTGATTGCTGGCGGCATCCATTTTTGCGTATCTGATTGTAGTAAATGAATCTCATTTACAGCTTAAAACCATTAGGAGCAGTCTACAAAATTTGTTTTGCGCATGCTCCGTTTCAAAATACGACTTAACTTAAACGAAAAATTGACCTTTTCGAAAACCTAGCTAAACACCGTTTTCCGGTACATTACGGAACATCGAAGTGAACGAATCGATCGGTACAAAGAAAAATCGGAAAATATTATTTACGTTACTTAGCGCCACGTGGATGTTTCATTCCGTTCTAATCTTTTAAATGTATAAATCTTTTACAGTATTGTTTTCTGAAAAGCGTTTTACTATTTCTTGTTCCGATAAATAGTAACAGTAACGATAAATAGTAACAGTGAACATATATAGCTACATTAACACCATGCACTATTATATGACCGAGTGAACCGTGTATCGCGTTTGAACTGGTTTGACTAAGTAACGCAACGGGGATTTTTTGGCGCAAGTGGCACACATTTGACACAAGTTTGATTTTCTTAAAATATTATGGTTGGAGGCATGCAGCTTTATATTCTGTTTATTCGAATCAAATGATATAAAACATTTTTATGTAAATCCTTGACTTAAAATTGTCTGATTAACATACTTTATGCCCGTTTTGGAAAATGTAGAGGAAATGTTTTCATATAATTACCAAAACATAAATCGAAAATTTGCTTATTGAATTTTACAAGAAACTTTTATTTTGATACTACTTTTAATATACATATCATTTATTTTAAATTTAGTTTCCTTTGTATATAAAGTATCCCTAATGCGTCAAGGAAAAAATCCATTTCTCCAGCATATAATCTCATGAATCTTTCAAAACATTAAAAAATGAAGTGTAAACAAACTTTCATTATGATACTATATATTCAATTTATATAATAAATTATATTTTGTTAAATAATTGTAATTTGTAACCATTCATTGTGTCTTATTTCCAAATATTTTCAAATTAAACAAATCTTCCACAGCAGCAAAAAGACCTCTCGCATGCTTCTTTTTAAAGAAGCAAACTTGTGTTGTTTGTACTAAACCTAGTTGCTGTCTATTATGTAACGTTTAAACTGTGACGTACTTCATTATTTTCTGTTTCTTAAGGATCTTTGTTTCTAATACTTTTTTGATGATCTGTGTTGTTTATATATTGCTCTTTCCACTTTCTTACGACAGGCTTAGAAAAAATAAAAATAACAACAAAAACAACAACAAATTCTTTCTTTGGACAATATCTGCTTTACAAACTTTAAAGTTCGCAAGTTCATTCGTTTAATAATTATAGTTATTTAACTTTTTTAAGAATTGTAATATAAGAAATTCACAGGTAGGTATCGAATAAATGTGTTTCAAAATACACATCGACATTTAAACTTTCATCTCTTCTTGTGAAGAAAGAGCAAATTTGACTTCCGTAATGCTTGGAAAATGGATTTAGAGCATGTTAGATTCACGGTAATCAAAACAACATTTAGTTTTTATATTGCCCCTGCTTATTTGCAGACTCGCTGTTTCCACGGATAAAGCCGATCATAAATTTGAATGCCATTTAGTTTTTATATTGCCCCTGCTTTCAGTAACTGATACTGTATTTAATCCCCAAAAAAACAAAGGGACCTCAACTGTACTTTGTTAATTTAGAAAGATGATGACACTAGCCCGGTTCCAAAAGGAAAGGATGCACCTATTTTCAATAACAACAAGCCTTTTGTTGATGGAGACAAATATATAACTTACTCGCAAGACTGGCTTAAGAAACTAAGTCCTATGAAAAACGACGACCATGTCATGATATTCACCGGGTAAGTTCAACTTTCCCTAACATGCTTGCATTCATTGTTTTATTTAACTATTATATATCCTACATGTAACAAGTTAATGAATAATTCATTTAGGACTCTATTCACCTTACACAACTGGAGGAGGAATTATTTATTACAAAACATAAGATTCTGCGTTAACGTATTGTTGAAGTTATATTTTAAGAATGTCACATATCGAGTAATATTTTGTATTCAAGCTATCATGTTTTCTTTAGGGATTCTGTTTTTCTCTATTTTAAAAGACCCAACGATTGGCCTTTGTGTAAAGTTATTACTAGTAGACGAATCTGTCTCGGAAATGCGGGCAAAATAACCGTCTGCTTATCTCGTTTTTCCTTTACATTAGCGTTCACCATAAACTGTTGCCCGAGACCAAACAAAAGTACTGCTGGAACACGCCGATATTTAATTTTGTGAAATGTCGTAGATTTTCTTCTCAAATGTTTGCAGTCTAGAATCTTATAAAGATTCTAAACTTGATAAAATACTGCTTCCTGCATCCCTAGTCACTTCGGATGCCACGTGCTAAATTGGAAGTGGAAAATAATTTTTACAACATGTTTCATTAAACACGACTGATCAGTATACACCCTTTTGAATGAGTAACGTCGCGAAAGACAATTATTTCATGTTACTACTATAGAAACGCGTGAAATATTTAGTATTTTGATAACAGTATTCTATCTCACAGAATAACAATTTTAATGTACGATTCTAGACGTTGAACGTGTAAATAATATATATTATGTTTCAATTACTGTTATTTATGTTTAAAAACCTTAAACGACATTAGCGCATTCATGACTTTTATACATGAAAAGATTTATACATTTTTGTTCAATTGAATGATAATTTTAAGTCATTTTATGTTTCAACTTCTTTAGTTGCGAACTATTTGACGGAGATATTGAAAACACAGGTATGGTTGGTATTGCGTTTACTGGTGGTGCCTGTAGTGAGCAAAAACTCTCTCTTCAACAGGACGCAGGCTACTATGATCTAACTACTACAGCGGCCCATGAACTTGGACACAAGTAAGTGTTTTCTTAACAAATGCATAAAAATGTAATTTAATTTGTGACTTTAATATATTCTATAGTCAAGTTTTAAATATCTAACATGGTCAACACTGCAAATTGAAACCATTGTTGATTGGGTTTGGACGCCGATGCTCCAATAACATCCGGTAAAGAATTAAACAGAATTTATCAAATTAAATTAATTATAAGGATGATTTGATTAAAAATCCTGCGAACTGATAAACTTGATCTATTTTGTGTATTCCGTTTCATTTCGAATTCATCATGAGGTCTAGAAAACACAAGCTGTACATCAGTTTAAGATATTCTTTAAAAATGTACTTTAAAAAGCAATATTAGCGTAGATTACAAGATAACGGGCTATTGCGATTATTGTTGAGTTGTTCATTTACGTGGCACAATGTTATGTGTACCTTTATGTCATATATATCAATATATATTTTAGTTTGAATGCCGATCATGATGGTGAATCTAATAACTGCAGAAAGGAAGACATGTATCTTATGGCACCAATCACTAACCAATTATCGTATAATAATCCATATAAGGTTAATCCTTGGAGATTTAGCCCATGCTCTATTAAATCGATCAAGAATTTTTTTCAATCGTAAGTAAATCTATTATATTATAACCAACCACACAGTTTTTAAGGCTATGGCGGAAGTTAAATAGATATCATTTCATTCTGTCTAGCCCTGCTTGTTTTGTTTTCTATTTATCATTTTAACAATGACCGATATGAACATGGAACTTTTAATATGTATAGAGAGTGAGCAAAAGTGCACAGTAGACCAATATCTATAACTCATTATTGCAATTTGACAAATACATGACTTTTAATTCTAATGACTATAATTTCACTATTATTTCACATAAGTCAGTAATGAAATTTATAATTGATATGAAATTATTAAGGTATTAAAGTAGTCCACCGATATTATGTAATCCTACCAACGGTCCATTTAAAGATAGCTAATCACTTGTGTTATGCATACTGATTGATATTTTCTCATTTCAGAGAAGACGCCTCATGTATGACAGATCACGGAGATTATTTTGATAAAACAGAGTGGGACAAACATAACAAAAAATTACCTGGAGAGCTTCATACTCTTGATCAACAATGTAAATTGCATATGGGAGACTATTCTGGTGTATGCCCTGTAAGTTTTCCAGACACAAATGAATGTACTTTTAAATCATATTAATGTTCTAACAAATTAGGAGTACGATAAATTCTATATTGAACTTTATTCAAAATTTCTGTCATAATTATACTCATCCATCTATTAATGACGTTTTGGTTTTTCTATAAATGTGGGCGTTCGCCAACAATTTAAATTCAGTTTGCACATTCTGTATAAGAGTAATGCGTGTGAAAAAAATGACTATTTTCCGTTTTTAAAGAAATATCGGTAAAGATTAAACGTTCATATGTCAAAGGTTAAGAGTTGAAGTTACAAAATACTTTAATTATTGAGAACATTTTATTACATTTGGTGGAAGAATCAAATAATTTATAACAAGTATCGATAATTTGATATGAATTTCATTATAGACAAAACTTGGCGGATTACCGGAAACAGATGAGAGAATTTGCCAGGAATTATTATGTATCGGCAAAGGTGGTTGCCCTTCTTACACCCCTGCTCGAGGATCTCCTTGTGGTAAACCTGGCGCAAATAAGGTTAAATAATATACAAATGATTTGTCACATTATACAACCATACAGAATGATAAAACGTGTACTATGATACACGCCATTGCAACTTGAAATAACAATGTCTTTATTGCACAAGTTTGCTTAGTCTAGGATATCTGGAAGTTACATATTCATATACGGTTGATAAAATTATATCTCTCCGTACGTTTAGATTATCAAACCACTTGCTATAAGTAACACAAGATAGGCTTCAAGACCAAGTTAGCTCTTCCATATGTCCGAAAGTTGACTTTTCATATTCCTGTAAATTTTAATGACATACACATTCTATCTTAGTTTAAGGAGAATGTCATCTTTGTATGGAAGTAACATCCTCGTGGTCGCACATTTGATAACTTTACATATGTCAAAACGAAAAACGTAATGAAGCATCTTGCGATGCTGATTTATTATCCTTTTATATTTCTTTTAATTAAAAATGGTAAGTAAGTTCATATTGTCTTGGTGCCATACATTATTAATTTTAATATGATTAAACAAACACGAATGTATTTTATTGTAGTGGTGTATTAATGGTAAATGTGTTCCGGGAAAAGTGAAGGTGATCGAAACTCCACGTAAGCAAATGTTTTCAATGAAACATATTATATCTTTGTATCATTTTATTTAAACAACGTCTCATGCATACAAAACATAACTATATTTTCAGCCGGAATAAAATATCTTTATTAAGATCCATGATTTTAAACACTCATTGTAAAACGATTGTATCAACTAATGTATTACATTTGTGTAAATTCTATTGTAGACAAGGAATGCTTTGAAACAACAGCCATCAAGTATAACGGACAGGTCAGTGTCACAAAATCTGGTAAGGAGTGTCTGCTTTGGTCAGATGTAACAGACGCATATTATTACGATTACTATGTCCCAAACTTTCCGGAAATACCAGTGGAAGGTGCCTCAAATTACTGTCGGGCTCCTGGTGGTGAAGTGCGTCCTTGGTGCTACATATTGAACGAAGATGAACTTGATTGGGAATTTTGTGACATTGGCAAATGTTAAATTTGTTTGGTTTAACCGAAACTTGATTTTTAATGTTATATTTCGTAATCAATTGCTTTGATCAATGTACTCGAATTTTTAAAACAATATTCATATTTAATGGCAAATCTATTAGATGAAATAACACATTTTGTTTGGTCTTTTGTATATTTTAAGTCTTTCGAGTGTTGAATAAATATTTTTTCCTCTATTTGTAATTAAATCAAACATCGAGTTTGATAATAATGAACAAGGTTGTAGTTAGTAATTAAATATATTGTCATTTATTGTTTTCCTCCATATCTAATATTAGATCATTTTAGTATATTTTGTTATACCTTTGCTACTTTTTACATTTTTATGGAAATAATTTTTTTCCATGTCTAATATTGAATCTTTTAAGTACATTTTGTTATACCTTTCCTACTTTTTACACATTTATGCAAACAAAGATTGTTAAATTAATCTCCTTACTGCTTTTGGCCTGTATCACTCTGTATAATGCTATTTAAAAAAAATAAATATGTAAAAACTATGTGTTGTGGTTACGATATGTAAAGAGAGAGAGAGAGAGAGAGAGAGAGAGAGAGAGAGAGAGAGAGAGAGAGAGAGAGAGAGAGAGACTTAATTCGCATGAATACCTATTCTCATTCTAATGATCATTGTAAGTTAAATACAAAGTAAACCCCTTAATAAATAGTTTGTTTTGCAAATAAAACTACATGAACAAAGTAATTACAATAGGATCGCATGAAAAATTACTTTGACGTCAGGTTCCTGTAATGAGGTGCTTATGAGAGATGATAAAGTATTTTCAAAATTATTCAATAGTTATACTAATTAATACTTTCTAGAAGTCACTCGAAAAAACATTTTTAAAGGAGGATATCAGGAGCGCGAATGTAAAGGTTTTCTTTTCTACATGTTACGCTTCTCTACTAAACTTATCAGGGGAAATAATTTATATACTAGCTATAGATCGAATCGCGAAAGAATCCAATATAACTAATGTTTCTGTATTTTATGTGATGGCAAAATCATGTTAAAAAATTGTTTTAAACATATATATATTTTTGTACCATCTTGTTTTCACTTATTCAATTACCTTGCACCGAACTATATTGTTGCGCGCATGAATTTTGATTTTGTGTGTAAGAATTTAGAGGCCCTTTGTGAACTTCCATAAAATTTACACTGGAAATTTATACATTACCTTTGGTAGGGAAAAAACGACATTAAGGGATTTTTTACCGAACAATATTAATAAATAGAAATGATTATGTCTCGCAAAACACAGACTCATCAAGTAGATGTTTCAAAATTACTTTTCTTTCAGAATTAGATGCAAGAGCGCTTTGACTTGTAGTTACCTCCTTTGTTGTAATGTTCTTGGCTGTATTTAGAACATGCTTTGACAAAATTACTAAAGATAGATTTGAGGATATGGGGTGTTGTGGTGCTATTGGAGGATGCTGTGTGGTCATGTTACCGGTTGCAGGTAATCTACAGTATTGATTTATTATTAACAAAAGGTCAACCCCAAAATGAGTCTTGCCCTCGAACATATTATTTTTATATAGACAGTGTATGCAATTATTTATTATCCCCCGCTGAAAGGCGGCGGGGTATATAGAAATAGTCTCCGTCCGTCCTTCCGTCCGTCAGTCCATCTGTCCGTCCTTCAGTCCGACATGTTTGTCCGGAGCATATCTCAAAAAGTATTTGAGGTATCATCTTGAAACTTCATAGGTGGATAGACCTCATTGAGTAGGAGTGTAGTGCACAATAATGATAACTCTACCACGAATAATTTTGAGTTATTCCCCTTTGTTATTTTTCTTAATTAATTTTTGTCCAGAGCATAACTCAAAAAGCCTTTGGGATATCAACATGAAACTTCATAGGTGCATAGATCTCACTCAGAAGGTGTGCAGTGCACAAGAATGATAACTCTTCTTTCATAATTTTTGAGTTATTGTCCTTTGTTATTTTTCATACTTAATTTTTCACCTGAGTGGAGCATAACTCAAAAGTGTTTGAGATGTCAACATGACATTTCATAGGTGGGTAGATCTTATTGAGGAGGAACGCTGTGTACAAGAATGATTACTCTTCCCTATACAATTTTTGAGTAATTGCCCTTGTTCTTTTTCATACTATTTTGTCCGGAGCTTATCTAAAAAAGTTATTTAGGTATCAACTTGAAACTTCATAGGTGGATGGATCTCGTTGAGGATGAGTGCAGTGCACAAAAATGATAACTCTATCCTGCATAATTTTTGAGTTATTGCTCCTTGTTATTTTTCAAAATTAATTTTTGTCCAGAGCATAACTCAAAAAGCCTTTGAGATATCAACATGAAACTTCATAGGTCCATAGATCTCACTCAGGAGGTATGCAGTGCATAAGAATGATAACTCTACCTTTCATAATTTTTGAGTTATTGCCCTTTGTTATTTTTCATACTTAATTTTTCACCTGAGTGGAGCATAACTCAAAAGTGTTTGAGATGTCAACATGAAATTTCATAGGTGGATAAATCTTATTGAGGAGGAACGCTGCGTACAAGAATGATTACACTTTCCTATACAATTTTTGAGTTATTGCCCTTGTTCTTTTTCAAAATTAATTTTATTTGAGGTATCAACTTGAAACTTCATAGGTGGATGGATTTAATTGAGGATGAGTGCAGTGCACAAAAATGATAACTCTATCCTGCATAATTTTTTAGTTATTGCCCTTTGTTCTTTTTTAATACTATTTTGTCCGGAGCATATCTCAAAAAGCCTTTGAGATATCAACCTGAACTTCATAGGTCCATAGATCTCACTCAGGAGGTGTGCAATGCACAAGAATGATTACTCTATCTTTCATAATTTTTGAGTTATTGCCCTTTGTTCTTTTTTAATACTATTTTGTCCGGAGCATATCTCAAAAAGAATTTGAGGTATCAACTTGAAACTTCATAGGTGGATAGACCTCATTGAGTAGGAGTACAGTGCACAAGAATGATAACTCTACCACGAATAATTTTTGAGTTATTGCCTTTTGTTCTTTTTTTTAATACTATTTTGTCGGGAGCTTATCTCAAAAAGTGTTTGAGGTAACAACTTGAAGCTTCATAGGTGGATAGATTTCACTGAGGAGGGTGCAGCACACAATAATGATAACCTACCCTGCATTATTTTTCACTTAATGTCCTTTGTTATTTTCAGCCATCAGTAATCGCATAGGTTTCAAATCTGTTATCACTTCAGCCATCAGTTTTCATTACCAAAAGACCTCTTAAAATTGAATTATTCTGCTCTACTACATATACATTCTTCCAGTGAGCAAACACAATTGGCGAGGGATGGCCATGTTGACATTGTTTTGCACGAAATATTCAAATTAAAATAAATAGGCTTGCGAGGAAAAACAGCGACCGGAAAAAGCAGCTGTTTGTTAGCGTTAGTCAAATAGGCTTGCAAGGCATGACAAAGTGATTTCGTTTAGTCGCTGTGATTTTGTTTTAAATGCATATTGTATATTCAGTGCATATATATACATGTATATTTATTAGGATTGTTCAGTTTCATCTGGTCCTTCATTCATTGCCTCACCCCGGCTGCCTGATCCTGTTTATCATTGTGACCTCTGGTCTCTGTTAGTGCTTAAACAAGACTGTCAAAAAATGTAATGAAGGTATGTGTATCATATATCTAATACACTTGTCATATGTATACGATGTCCTGTTTTGGGTAGTTTACATGTTGTTTGGTAAAATGCAAGATTTCGACAAAATCTCCCTAATCGCTCATCTTATTTAGTAATGGAGTAATAACTTGATATCGTAAATGTACATATATAAATTTATCACGTCGTGTCAATTGTAACGTAATACCAGTTTGCATCAGCTTTGTTTTCAAAAATAATATCCGGTCTAAGGCAAATATCAAATAGTAAGTAGTATGTAAGTAGGGAGTTATCAACACGTTACTTAACACGTTAATTATATAAATAGCGATGATTGTGTGATAAACTAGTTGGGTAACGTGTTAAACAAATAATTAACACAAAATATATGGTTATAATTATGGTGGCAGAAATTATTGTATCCAACTTGTAAATGTAAGCTAAAATGTAAAGAAAATCACATATAAGTCCGTGAATTTAACACCAAAAATTTGTGATGTTGAGTTTTACATTTACTAATTAAGTTCATAAACTGGATAGCGTTGATTGAATTTCTATAAAATATTATGAACAGGTCACATTCAGTCTATAAACCAGTTAGGCAGCGGATTGACAATTGCTAACTTCATCAAAGCTTTGGTGAATAAACAACGTGCCATTTCGTTTTTTAAAATGTCTCAATTAAATTTTCATTATAGTTATTGATATGATATGAAAAATGTATTAATTGTAAGAAAGCCCTATGATTTAATACCATGAATTTTCTTGTTTCATTGATAGGATGAAATTTCCAAACTCTAGATATTGAAATGTTTTCTAATACATATTGCTTTTTGAGTTAAGTGTTAAAAATACTTCAAATAATAATAATCAAAATATCTGTTATCGCATATTTACTAGTATTCTTCATAAACGTGGTTCTTTTCTGCCTCCTTATATATATAAAACCCTATCAAATGTGCAACTTTTTCATTAAAAGCTTTCAAGATATTTATTTCAGAGCATGTTTTACATGTTTTTTCTTAACCACATGTATCTTCGATTGGTGGTGGTAAACGGCTGGCCAGTCAACCGTAGTTAATGCCTTGGCCAAAGAACAGTTTGCACAGACATCAGATATTCATGATTCACGACAAAAGAGTATTTCCAGTGATGACACGTTGAACGATTATAATGTAGATACATCTTCAGACAGCATGATTTCGTATGAAGATTGTAGATGTTTTTCTCCCCATGGCAAAGTTGATAACATGGTACAACAGAGACCATTCGGTGGTCTCGTTCTGACGTACTGGTGGGCATCTTGCTCCATATGGTGAAGTTGGTGGCAGAACTGGGGCATATAAATGACTCAAAACCACATGCATCTTCCGATGCATTGGTTCCGTATAAGGTTGGTGGTCGTGTTGCTACACATGGCCAAGTTAGAGGCATGCGCAGGGTACAATAGAGAGCAATTTAAGACTCAAACAAAACATATCTTCCGATGAAATGTTTTCGTATCAGGATATTGGAGGTGGCACTCCTTATGGCGAAGTTGGGGACATGAACGGGGCATAGCGTAGAGCAATGGTGTATGGCTCTCGACGAAAACCTCTTCCAGTGGTTCTGTTTCTAATCAGAACAATAGAAATGTGCCTTCTGATGGAGGTGCTGTGCATATAGAAGCACACATGGAACAAAATGAAGTATATGCTCATGATTCAGAAAACGGACGTATTTTCTTTGTGATGAAAAAGTATTCGAACGAGCGTTTCATTCATATATTCATATTCACATTCATATATTTAAAGATGAATAACTTTAAGATCTTCAACAGACCATACATCAAATGTGATGGAGAATCATTTTATTTT